TATTTTTACATAATTAGGTATCTTAATTAATTACAATTAGCGGGACCTGCCTGACAACCCATGCCGAAGGGAATTTAATTTGCTAGCACTATATTTAACCCTATAACTTTCCAAGACACCATAAAACCTGTACATGGGGGGTACTGTTCTACTCGGGAGACTTCGCTGAACACAAATATTAGTGTTTCAAAACAGTAAAATGTATTACAACGATGATATCGCCAGTAAAAGTGACGTTTTTTGCATTTTTCATGCACAGCACTTACACGGACGATATTACTGCTGCAATACTTTTTGCTGTTGTGAAACACAAATATTTGTGTTCAGCGAAGACTCCCGAGTACAACAGTACCCCCCATGTAAGGTTTTATGGTGTTTTCAAAAGTTACAGCGTCAAATATAAGGCTTGTGTTTCATTTTTTTTCACATTAAAATTTGCCAGATTGGTTACGTTGCCTTTGAGACCCTATGGTAGCCCAAGAATGAAAATTACCCCTATGATGGCATACCATTTGCAATAGTAGACAACCCAAGGTATTGCAAACGGGGTATATCCAGTCTTTTTTAGTAGCCACTTAGTCACAAACACTGGCCTTTTTTTGCATTTTTCACACACAAACAAATACTAACGCTAACTTTGGCCAGTGCTTGTGACCAAATGGCTACTAAAAAAGACTGGACATACCTCATTTGCAATACCTTGGGTTGTCTACTATTGCAAGCTGTATTGTCATCTTCTATTTGTATTACTATATCTTTATGAGCCTGTAAAGTTATCTTGGCACTGCAAAAATAAAGAATGAAAAACTAAAATAAAAAATAAATAAAGTATTAAACACTGCAGACATATTTGGCTTTAAAACACTTATTCACTATTTGCAATATTTGTCCTATAACTTCCACCAGAGGAAACCTTATGGAAAAATTGCAAACACAGGAGGGATAACTTGGGATTACAGGTAATGTATGTTTTTGTTCGTCCAGGTGGGACAATGCCTTTACTATAACTGAAAACAGGGTTTTAATAAAACACAACTGTTTTTGGTTGGAATAACCCTGTAAAGGTTGACTAGAGCACTGTGGGTGTTCTTGCCTCCTCTCTGAATGCATTTGTGTGATTTGACACATAGTATAGTGAAATGACATAAACATAGTTTGTCAGGTCATTACATACAGTATTTTGAAAGACCGCTAATGGTGACATTGCCACTTGGTGTGATGTGGCCTTGTTGGGCAGCAAAGCCAGATAGAATTACCTGATCCTGTCCCCTGTGGGCACAACCATCTTCATTCTTCAGCTCTTGGTGCTTCAAATGCCAGGAGACCACATTAGTGCTATACTTTTGCACATGCAGAAAAGGATAACACTGTGGTCTAGAGTTCCCCTGGCACATAAAGGAGGTGACCAGAGCCTAGTGGAACAGTCTCCTTTCTTCCCCTCTCGTGGAAGACCATGGCATTCCAGAGGCTTCAGAGGGAACCCCGGTTCCAGACGCCCTTACGGTAAGCTTACATCTACCTCATGTTTTTCCAATATGTGTGTAGGGGGCAGACTCCGTCATTTTTTCCACACCTGGTTAACCATCACCTCAGATGTCTGGGTTCTGACCACAGTTCGGGGGTTTCACATCGAACTGGTCGACACTCCATGTCACGTTCCCCCGCCTTGCCCTATTTTGCTTTCTACAACCGACCGCGCCTTGATAGACGCAGAACTAGCGGCCCTCCACGCAAAAGGGGCGATAGAGCTGGCCCCGATGTCCTCTACAGGGGTGATCAGCAATATTTTCCTAGTGGAAAAGAAAGGCGGACAAATGCGCCCAGTTATCAACCTCCGTGCCCTAAACACCCTGGTGCGCTATCGTCACTTCAAAATGGAGAGCATCCACCTCCTGCGAGACTTACTCCTTCAGGGAGACTGGATGGCAAAATTGGACTTGAAGGATGCCTACCTGACGGTCCCAGTGGCCGAGTCTTCCAGGGACCTGTTACGTTTCCTCTGGAAAGGAGGCACCTGGCGCTTCACATGCCTCCCCTTTGGACTGTCGTCATCCCCTTGGTGCTTCACGAAGCTGATGCGCCCCGCCATGGCTTTGCTGCGCAGTCGGGGAGTCCGGCTAATCGTCTATTTGGACGACATCCTCATCATGGCACAGGATTGTTCAGTCCTTTGGAAACATCTTCAATGGACAATGGACCTCCTTTCCCACCTGGGTTTTCTCCTCAACTGGGAAAAATCCTGCCTGTCTCCTTTGCATCGCATGGAGTTCCTAGGCTACACGGTAGATTCCGAAGCGAAGTCACTGAGCCTCCCTGCCTCCAAGATACGGACAATCTGCAAGGAGCTGCGCCGCGCTCCAACACGCACCCAGCTATCTCTACACCACCGGGCACAGATCATTGACCTTCTGGCAGCATCAATCCAAGTGGTGTTCCCAGCCCCACTCCATTACCGTGGCCTCCAGTGCCTGAAGATCGCACACCTTCGCGGGGGGGCGTCCTATGCGGACATGATCTCCCGGGACTCGGAGACTCGAGACGAATTGACCTGGTGGATCCACAACCTCTCGGCTTGGAATGGCAAGGCCATCTTCGGCTCCCAACCAGAGTTCACGGTGGACTCAGACGCCAGTCTCCACAGCTGGGGTGTCCATTACAACGGGGTGACTACCAGGGGTCGCTGGTCGGCAGACGAATACCACCTCCACATCAATGCTCTAGAACTCCTAGCGGGTTCATTCGCGATTCGGAGTTTTGCGAACGGGACTGCCAGCTCATGCATCCGCCTGCGCATGGACAACATTTCAGCGGTCCGCTATGTCAACCACATGGGTAGCACTCAATCTGCAATCCTGGCCCGCTTGACGAAGGACTTCTGGGCCTATTGCTTGGACAGGAACCTGGTGGTCCAGGCAGAATACCTTCCCGGGCTCCACAACACTCACGCGGACTGGAGTTCACGCTATCTGTCGGACAACAGCGATTGGAGATTGAATGTCGGAGTATTCTCCGCTATAACGTCCATATGGGGTCCTTTTGCCATCGACCTCTTTGTGTCCAGGCTCAATACCCAACTACCCCGGTTCTACAGCTGGCGCCCAGATCCAACCGCGGAGGCAGTGGACGCCTTCCTACAAGACTGGACTGGCTCACTCCTATACGCCTTCCCCCCCCCGTTTGCCATGATACCTCGGGTCCTGCTCCAAGTTCGCCGCCAAATGGCCGACCTGATCCCACTAACCCCATTCTGGGGGACCCAATCCTGGTTCCCACAACTCCTGGAACTGGCGGTAGACGTGCCCAGACTGCTGCTGTCTCTACCGAACCTCCTCCTGGACCCATCGGGCCTCCAGCATCCCCTCCTAGTGGACGGGTCGTTACTACTGCTCGCGTGGAGGATTTTGGGAGTCCCTGGGAAATCCAAGGGGTTTCGGACGCAACTTGACGCCTCCTGGCTGACGCATGGGCTCCCAGGACTAGACGAGCATATGGAACCACTTGGAGAGCTTGGACTGGCTGGTGCCTGGCTCGGAACTTGGATCCCGTTTCAGCACCTGTGACTGCGATCCTCCTATTCCTGACTTCGTTGTTTGAAGCTGGTCGGGCATATCACACGATTAATTCGTACAGATCGGCCATCTCCTCTGCTCACCAAGGATTTGATGGCTGCCCAGCAGGCCAACATCCGTTAGTGTGCCGCTTACTTAGGGGTTCACGCCTGTCGTGAACCCCTAGACCTCGTTACTCATCTACATGGGACGTTTCCTGCGTTTTTTCGCTGTTTTCCTCCTGGCCGCCTAATGCAGAGCTCTCTCTGCGACAGCTGTCGGCAGAGTTGGTCTCCCTGTTCTGTCTCATTTCATGCAAACGGGTATCGGATGTTTGTGCCCTGGACTATGATGCTAGGTCTTTCACTCCGGACGGGGTGACGTTTAACATCTCCAGACGCACTAAGACCGCTATTCGATCGGTTTCTTATCCGAGCTTCCCTGTTACTCCGGCCCTATGTCCGGTGGCCTGCCTACGGGAATATGAACTTCGAACAAGCGGACATCGAGCAACGTCGTCTCCCCAGCTTTTTCTCTTCCTTCGTAGCCCCTTCTCCCCTGTATCCAGGGCCGGTGCAAGGATTTTTGCCGCCCTAGGCAAAAGAAAGATTCCCCTCGGGACATCGCAATGCCCCACCCATATGATCTGCCATATGAACTAATGCCAGTGCTGCACACAGTGTGTGTTTACATTAAAAAGCCTGCAGGGACCAACTATAGCCACCAGAACAACTTTATTAAGCTGCAGTGGTTCTGGGGACGATAGTGTCCATTTAATGTGAGGTAAATTAGAGATTAGTGTCACTAATAATATACTAGATTGCCTACTTACAATCAGATGAGGATGGTGATGGGCTCTGGCTGCAGTCTGGCTCCATTGGTCTGGTGTAAAACAGGATCTCTGGAGGCTGTTTGTAACTGTGGTCACAAAATTCAATGTTCTGGGAGAACGGGAAGCAGCTCCATTTTTTTGGGGCCTCTTACATAGCTCAAGGTCTGGGCCCCAGGGCCTGACGGTGAGTATGCCCATAAAGCCCACCCATAAGTCCACCTACATGTTCCACCCATGAGTTCGCTCACAGGGAGTAGAGTGTGTAGGGGATGTGTTATGTGTTACTGTAGAGGATCTAATGTGTGTGCTTACGGAATGTAGTGTATAGGGATACCAGTTTGTGTAGGTGATGCAGTGTGTTTGTGTGTAGTGGAAGCAGTGTGTTTTTGTGTAAGGGATAGAAAGCAGTGAGTGTTTGTGTATAAGGGATGTATTGTGTGTTTCTTGTTGTGTGTAAGGGATGCATTGTGTGAATCTGTGTTTGTATGCATAAGGGATGCAAAGTGTGTTTCTGTGTATGTAAGGGATGCAGTGTGTGTCTGTAAGGGGTGCGTTGAGTGTGTGTAAGAGATGCATTGTGTTTCTGTGTGTGTAAGAGAAACAGTGTGTGTTTGCATTTGTGTGTGTAAGGGATGCATTGTGTGTGTTCTGTGTATATGTGCAAAGGATGCATTGTCTTTATGTGTAAGGGTTGCATTGTGTGTTTCTCTGTTGTGTTTCTGTGTGTATAGGGATGCATTGTGTGTGTGTGTGTGTGTGCGCGCGTGGTGTAAAAGAGCTCCCTGTCCTGCCCCCTGTCCTATAGAGCTCTCCCTTCCATTCCTTAGAGATCTCCCCTGCCCCTTAGTGGTCTTTCCTCTCCCCCTCACCTCCCTTAGTGGTCTCCTTTTCTCCCCGACTTTCCATTAGTGGTCTCTCATCTCCCCCCACCCTCCCCTAGTGGTCTATCCTCCACCCCCCTCCCTTAGCGGTTTCTCCTCACACCCCTCCCCTAGTGGTCTCTCCACCGCCCCCTCCCTCCTTTAGTGGTCTAAATTATCTCCCCCCCCTCCCCCATCAATTATCTCCCCATCAATTATCTCCACATCAATTATCTCCCCCTCCTCCCATCAATTATCTCCCCCCCTCCCATCAATCATCTCCCCATCAATTATCTCCCTCCCCTCCCATCAATCATCTCCCCCCCCCATCAATTATCTCCCCTCCCCTCCTTTTAGCTTCTCCTCACCTCCCCTGCCCTGTAGCGTGGCCGAGCTCCTATCCGGTCCGGTGACCCGGCGGAGTGACAGGAAGTGCACACTTCCTGTCAGTCCGGCCGGGTCACGGACCGGAAAGGAGCTCGGCCACGCTACAGGGCAGGGGAGGTGAGGCAGTGCGGCAGCCGTCTGAGCGCTCTCTATAGAGCGCTCAGGCGGCTGTGGCATTTAAAGGGCCGGCGATGGGGGCGCAGGGTGCCCCCTCCTATATGGCGCCCTAGGCGGCTGCCTAGTTCGTCTTATAGGAAGCGCCGGCCCTGCCTGTATCCAGTACTACATTGGCTCGCTGGGTGAAATGGGTGATGTCTCTGGCCGGCGTGGATACGTTCATCTTTGGTGCCCACTCAACCCGAGGGGTATCGGCCACATCCATGGTGAATTCAGGTCCACGTCTGGAAGACCTGATGAGAATGGGCGACTGGTCCCGCGAATCAACTTTTAGTGAGTTTTACTTTTGACCTTTGCCTCACGTTTTTTCTCCGGTTGGAATCCTGTTTACTGATGGATCGTTCCCAGTTTCATTATGGTTCCTGATCGGAGTCCGGCTGGATTTCGGATCGCCTGTTCTATTTGGTTTGGACTGTTTCATCGTTCCTGTTTTGTTGTTATTGTGACGCATCTCCAAAGAAAGAGGAAATGTGTGGAAATGTGCTGACTATTATAATGGGACTTGGTATGGGTGTGGCCTATCACTATGTTTACCATTTTTTCTTACTGTTGTATTCTTTGCTGCTATTGGTGGACAGTGAAGAAAGGGTTAAGCAGTACTCGCCTCTGTGTCTTTTTCATAAAATCATGACTTTTCGTCATGAAATAGCAAAACCATGTAATTAATTATGATAACATTTTTAACTGGACATCGCAGGCATAAAAACATATTCATATTTGACAACCATGTGTGCATATATGTATGTGCATATTGTGATGTTCTTTGTTTGTAATGTATAGTTTGAATCTGTGAGTAAAGTGAGTGCATGCAGCTTTGTAAATGCGTGCATGGCTAAAGAAAATGTTAGAAGTGGTTATGGTAAAAGAGAGGTTTAAAGTTAGAGAGGGGTTAATGTCAGGGTTAAAAAAACATATGGTGTTTATTACAGAGGACATTCAAAGGACACTGTAGGCACTAAAACATATTTAGCTTAATGTTCAATTTTCTGCCATTTAGGAGTTAAATTGCTTTGTTTATGCAGCCCTAGTCACACCTTCCTGCATGTAACTTGCACCACCTTTCTAAACACTTTTTGGAAAGAGTTATCTAATGTTTACACTTCCTTTATTGCACAGTCAGGGGAGGTGTGGCTTGGGCAAATGGACAGAAACAAAGGTTATTTAACTCCTAAATGGCAGAGAATTGAACAGTTAGACTATGGGGGCATGATCTATACACTAAAACTGCTTCATTATGTTAAAGTTGTTTTGATGCCTATAGTGTCCCTTTAACAGATTGATAGTGGTAAAGTTGTATGATAAGAACTGTTTAGGATTATTGAGTTTAGTGCTGGTTTAAATATAGTATTTAGGTACATGAGGTATTTAGTTTTTAAGAGGAATTAAACATAGGGCTATGATATAGGATTTATTTTCAGGTTTAGACTTTGAGCGCTGGAGTTTAAAATGTCATTTGCAAAGTACTCATCTCCTATGTCATGTCTTCTGTAGACCAGTCATATTGATGACATTAGTTAGAATTGCAAGATTGGTTATACAGTGTGCATCACTCAGAGCTTCCCTGCTCCTACTGCACTCATGTCCTGCGTGAGAGGTTACTAGTGGGCAGATGGGAAGCAAAACTTCCCTCTTCCTGTCCAGCTCCCAGCCTCACCCACACAGACACTGGAGGAGCGGGGACAGCACTGAGTTTTACACTCTATAAGTTCCTGCAGCCCTGGTAACAAGCATTGGAGGCTGACTGCACTACAGAGGACAATGGCCAAGGTTCCTTGTGCTTATTGCTCACCAACCTTTTTAAGCTCAAAAGGGAACATTATAAGTGTTGAAAACAGGCACTCCTAGTGATTACGTGCCTACTCTGCCTAATGGGAAATCTGGCCCTGGTAGTAAAAATTGTCACCAAATATTATTTTTATAAACATATACTTTTTTTATAATTTTATAATCCTGCTGTCCTTAAGATGACCCACGCATGTATAAGTCCCTGGCAGGTGAATGTAAGTAAATGAGGGTGGATAAGAGGGTGTTGAAAGAGACATAGTGTGTTCCCATCACCTGACCCCTTTGGGCCTTGTAACTCATCCATATTCCACGGTTGGGGTAAATTAGGTTTTGGGGTTCATGTTACTAGACTTCAAGATTTATTTTGTTTTAAACTGTAATTAGTCCGAGTTTTGGCTGATTGGGTGATCGTTCGAATTCCTGATTTCCAAGTCATTTGGACTAATCATGAAAAAAACATACGCCCATTAGTTGACCTTGATTCTACCAATATGTCTGTAAAGGATGAATAAATAATTGAGAACTTGTAATTGTATTGATGTACTTATTTTTGTTTTTCTATTCCTGAACATCATACTATACAAAATGTTGGTTTTAGCCTTTATTTATGCTTTGGAAGAGGATAGAGGATATAGAGACGGGCACACAGATAGGGAAAATAGTAAATCATATAAACTATAAAACAGAACAATAGATAAATATTATTCTAAGACACATACCATAATCACCACACAACACTATAAAAGTATGCATCCTGTGTCTGGGAGCAGCAATGAAAGAGGAAGCTAGTGCCTAGGGGTTTTTATATGGCTGGTGACATAGTTGGTGGGAGGGTGAATGTGGGTCACTCCCTCTTGTGTTTTTTGCTGTTGGGAAGTAAAGAAAGGGTTAATGCAAAATATGAGCTGCCATGATGATATAAAATCAGGAGTTGTGGTGCCCAGATTTCCCCTCTGTAGTCCTTAATGAACATCTCTGCCACACTTATCTACTGTGTGTACCACAGCTGTCAAACCTCAACCCTCTGTCAATCTCTATGCTGGCTTCCAGTATTTTAGGTTTGTTTGCAGATGAGACTATGATAGCCTTGACTGATCCTATTAAATCATTCCCAGATCTGCAAGATACATTAGAAGAATTCAATTTCCTACCACAAAATTAACTGGTCCAAATCACAGACGTTCTAGTGGGAATACCCCTTAGTTGGGTGACGGAATTGCATCAGCAAATTTCAGTATGAGTGGAGGGGTTGCTTTCTCACATACCTAGGGGTTCCAAATTCCAAATATATTCAAACAGTGGTTAAACTCAATTGAGAAAAATAGCGGTTCATGATCCAACTTGACCTCTCGAGATGGAGACATCTTAACTTCTCTTGGTTGGGTAGAATAGTGGCACTTAAGATAATACTCTGTACACTCTGTAATACTCTGTGTTACTGTACACCTTAAGTTCTATTCCCGTCAAAATCTCTAAGTCCCTATTGATGGCCATGCAATGGGAATTCAATAAATATGCTGATTATTCCAAGACTAGAATAATTTCTAGAGGCTTTATGTATTTCTCCAGGCAGACAGGTGATCGGGGTTTGCCATGTATGTGTATTTACCATAAAGCCTTTATACTGACTTAATACCATGTTGCTTGCCTCCTCCAGTCTCCTAGTTGGTTATGAGATGGCTAGGGGCACGCTGACTGACCCATCACTGTGCATACACCCTTCCCTTCCTTCTCTTTTGCCCTCTACTCAATACTCGATTGGGGTGTGGCACAGTCTAACATGCAAAAAACCCTATCTCTTGCTTTTTACTAATGCTACTACTGTTTCCTACCTGGTTAGAAGCATTCCAAACCTTTCTTTATGCTAATGGATGTCACAGGGAATCTGAGTGCAGCGGACCACCTGGCACCCCGACCGGGGGCCTCTGCCAATCAATGCTCCTAGTGCTCACCAATTACCACAAGCACCACACCAGACACCATCAGCACTGTAGTCCCCACTTCCAGTGTTACAGCTTGGTTGGGGTCTTGTTGTCCTCCAGCCGCCCTGGACCCAAGACCAGGATCCAGCTTCCAGTGGGTAGACCTCTCCTCCAAGAGAGTGTAGCAATATGCTCTTAAAAGAACAAGTGATTATAATCCC